ATATATATATATATATATATATATATATATATATATTTTTTTTTTTTGGCAGCTGGCCAGTATAGGATCTGAACCCTTGACCTTGGTGTGACAAGGCAGCACTCTAACCAAATGAGCTGACTGGCCAGCCCCGCTCCTATTTTTTAAGGTGGGGAAGATTGGGGCCTATTTCACATTGAGCAGAAATAATCAGAAGGAGAGATGGCAGCTGCAGGCGAGCAGGGCGGCCCTGGAGGAGATTCAAGGGGCAGGAGACCCAGCGCGGGGCGCCCCTGGGGAGGAACGAGCATCTTGGGCAGGAGAGAAGGGCGGCTGAGGATCCAGAGAAACGCGAGGCGAAGCCAGAGGCCCTCCTGCTGCTGGGGCCCCATCCTGTGAGGGGACGTGGAGAACGTGGAGGATGCAGGGAAACTGAGGCATAGTCAGCCAGGGATGGAAAGAACAGGATGGAGCTAAATAGTAGTGTGAAGCTCTGCACCTCCTCGGTGTTTACTGTGGAGTGGGTGGGGCCCCCACCCCATTCATATGTGGAAGCCCCAGTGCATGGTACTTGGAGATGGGGCCTTTGGAAGGTGACCAGGGTTCGGCAAGGTCATGGAGTGGGGCCCTCATGATGGGCCGATAGGATTAGAGCCCTTGAAGGCAGAGACACCAGAGAGCTCGCTTCTTCCCCCCCACCTCTCTCTCTCTCCCTCTGTCTCTCTCCTGCCTCCAACAAGAGAGGATACAGCAAGAAGGTGGCTGCGACCCAGAAGAGGGCCCTCAGCAGGGCCCGAATGTGCTAGCTCCAGAGCTGTGAGAAATCAATCTCAGTCACTTAAGCCACTCAGTCTACGGTATTCTGTAGTAGCCAGAGCTGTCTAATATAGTGTTCTATATACATTTTTGGATCAGAAAAGAAATCAACAGAAAGTTCCAAAAAAGAACAAAAAGAACTATCTTTATAATAGAGATGATATGGCATGTCAAATTCATAGTTGGGCAAGACTGTGCTTCTAAATATGTCAGGACTCTGGAAAACCTTTCATGATGCGTAAATGCAAACAGAAATATTTCAGAATGGTTATCCAAGTCACTACTATTCTGAAGGACATACCTATTTTGATTGACAAAGGAATCCAACTTGAAAATTTGTGTGTTAAATTTTTCCCCCAGTAAATTCCGAAGGATTTGGATGACACTGTCAGATTTGGTGTCCTAATAAAGGGCTTATCAATGTCTTTAAGACAGGGATTTGTCCCCCTGTGATTCTTAATGTATTTCAATCCAGTTTTGGCCAGATTACGCAGAAAAGTGCTTGCCCTGAATGAGTTCTGCTCTGCAAAGAGTTATTAACATTATACAGGGAAAGACCAATCAATGTTAGGTTTCATCTGATTAGATTATGGACGCTTGGGAACCAAGTAATATGTGCCTTTGGGGTTTTTGCTGATCCTAAATAAGAACATAGGAAATAGGAGGAAGAGCACATGTTGCCGCCTCTGAGACTCCAACTTGGGGTCGTCTTTTAACATAAATAGTGACTCAGGTACCGAAAAATAAGCAGGCTTGGCTGGGCCAACAATACATGCTCTGAGCAATGGTAATTCCCAGCTGCAAAGTGGACCCCTCTCCTGGGACCCCCGGAAGGATCAATTACCCTTTCATCTGACAGTGAAACTTTTCATGGTTGTGAAACGAGACTGCTGCTCTCCTCCCCGGCTCAGCCAGGCAAGGCCACGTGCTGGGGTGGGTTGTTTCTCTGCATTTCAAGTGTCCGTGGGAAAAGCTCCCCACGACACAAAGGAGACTAGAATGAAAGTCCTCTTCCTTCACCTCTGTCCTCAGTCCCCCTTCCCAGAGAGACCCCCAGCTTTTTAAGCATCCTTCCTATCAAACAGGTGCATGTTTTTTCGGGCCAAACAGAGGAACTGCACTTTCATAAGATGTACAGTAAAATCCCACTGGAATGCGCCTGAAAGAAGAGGCAAGAAGAATTCACTTTGGAAGAATCCTGGCCCAGAGGCTTAAGTGAGGGTCTTTGCAGGAGCATTTTCAGAGCATGTAGTTCAAACTCAAAAGTCAGAGAAGTGACGTGGAAGAGATCCTGAGCTGTTTTCTCAATTGACATCCCTGAGTCACCATGTGGTGTTAAGAAAGTTATCTACTCCTTCTGTGCCTCAACGTAGCCGCCTGCAAGGTGGGCCCCGACGTCCCCTACTTCCAAAGGGCACTGTGTTGTGTCGATGCTCCACAGTGTTCCGATGAGGACAAGTGAAATTTTTGTGAGCTCACCAGCTAGGGCACGTGTAATTGCAGTCTGACGAATGTCCTGTTTAAGGACGTGCTCCCTATATTCCAACCCAATAATTATTTAGCATTTGTAGATCATGCTGTGATTGCTGAGTACTTTATGAACATTTGGCTAAATTGCTCCTTAAAACAGCCATATCCTCAATTAAAGTGGGGAGAGAGAAGAAATGCAGCAAGTTGTAAGCATGTCCTGCTGAGAGCGTGGCAGTGAGGTGGCCTCCCACGTAACTGGGAGCTCTCTATCCATGGCCTCTGCTGCACCTCCTCCTTCCTATGCCTAAACTCTTAGCCCATCAGACAACCTCAGCAGCTGCCTGGCAAGCTCTGCTCCATGTGCACATGCAGCAAGGGAGGAGACTGCCGAGGATGTCCCATTAGGTCCACCCTCAGAAGACCAAAGCTAAGCCTGCGGGTACTCAGGAGGCCCCACGGCACAGCAGATCACACCACAAATGGGGAATGTGCTGCGCCTCTCTGAGCAGGGGGCTCTGGGGGTGGTCCGGAGCAGGCTCTGCCTGGCCCTTGTCACCTCTTTGCCCCAGTGTCCTCATCTTTAGTGGGGACAGTAATAGTACAAACTTCCTAGAGCTGTTTTAAGGATTAAAAAGGTTAAAAACCTCTAAGGGCTTTGCACCAAGTACAGTGCGTGGCACGTTAATCCTTAGTCAGTGTTACCATCCGAGTGGCTGCACCTGACCCAGGCAAGTAAGAGAATTACTTGCACTTCCAGAATCCCCTTCCTGAGCCTTTCTTCTTCAGTAGCCCTCATTGTCCTTCCCATGTGGGGCACGGAATGAAGCGGTTAAGAGTCTAGAATTTAGACTCATACGAACCCGGGCTCTGCTCCTGGCTCCATCTTTTATTAGCTACGTGATGTTAGACAAGCTGGTTAACCTCTCACTAAAACTCGATCTTTAAAATTAACCTTTATCATGGAAGTGACAATATCTTTCCCGGTATCTTTGTAAGAATTAACTGTAATCAAGTATTTTAAAATGCTGCCGTCGTGCCTGGAATGTCGCGCTTCATGAGTGATGCTAATCTTCTCCCCCGTCATTTCACTTAAGGAAAAAGAGTTGATTCTGGGACAGCAGTTAGAATCACACTTACACGGACCCTGGGAAGCCACCGTGAGCTCACACTTACGTTGCACTTTAGAATTTCAAAAACCTGCCAAATAAGTTGCAAATACTCTAGTCACCTGGCTCCTAAAATGTGGTCCAGGGACCAGCAGCATCAACTTGACCCGGTCCCCAGGAGCTCGTCAGAAACACGCCTGAGGTTCCACATCTCATGCCCACCCAGGTCTACTGACGTGGAATCTGCATTTTAACCAGAGCCTGAGTGACTCCCATACACCCAATACACCTGAAAGTTGAGAATCACTGTTCCAGAGTGCAGCCTCCAAACCAAGACTGTGTCAGTTCAAACCCCAGCCCACCACTTTCTGGCTGTGTAACCTCAGGCATGTGACTTAATCTCTCTAAGCCTCAGTCTCCCTAACTGCAAAAAGGAGCTACATGCAATACCTACCCCATAGGGAGGTTATGAGGATAACATGAGACAGTCCTGGTGAAGCTTTGAGTGCAGAGTCTGGCACCTAATAATAAGTGCTGGCAACTTGGATAATATATTTAGATTACTATATGGCCAATTATATATCATCTCATTGGACATTTACAAGAACCCTGTACTGTGGGCAAAACAGCCATTAATTATTATTATCTTCATTTTACGGAGGGGCATACTGGGCTCAGGCAGAATGTAGCAGGCAGAGGCAGGATTTGAAATCCTGACGGTGTGTCTGAAGTTGCAGCAGGAGAGCAGGGCTAACCTCACACCCTTGCCTAAAGAACAGTCTGTCTGGGGACGTCTTGAGTGGAGCCCGCAGTCTGAGAGAAGGGGTGCCTTCCCTGTCCAGCTGACCAGGGCAGTCCCATCAACCCTGCAAACAACCGGTGCTGGCACCTGCCCGGCCAGGCCACTGCAGCCGGACGAGAGCCCAGGTTTTCTGACTGTCAAGTCAGCTTTCTCTCGTTCCTCAGTGAATCCACCTTGGGCTTGCTTAATCTTAGTGGAAAGCCAGAGTAATGATATCCCTCAAAGTCTTTACGAGGTGGATCTGTGGCTTAGATACCTGGGAAGAGCCCCCTCATACTCGCACATGATTATGCAGCACTTATGTTTCCAACAGTTTCCATCAGAAACAAAGACAGAATTTAACCAAAGGTTGTTGGTCTTGAGTGGAGGTAGGAAGGCCTCTCGACCCTCAGTGAGGGGACTCACAGGCCCCAGGAATAGCGTGGCAAGCGTCGGCCATGGCAAGCCCTTTGCCTTCAGTGTGACCTTGAAAAAGTCAACACAGAGAAGCCTGGGGCTCTGCACTCGGCCGAAGCCTTTCCCTGCTATGAATGGTTTTCCAGATCAACTTCAATTCCCGCCTTCCTCGGGCCAGGTCTGCTCAAATAGAGGACCTTATAGTTACGTTTTTCTGGCTGCTTAATGTGTTGCTACAAAACACAAGAAAAAGTAAATCCTCAGAGAAAATGGACTGGAAAGTTCTGAAAAGACAACATGAAGGCAATCAGGGCAAAGGGCTGGTGGGCCATGGGGTACCCTGGTGGTGACGTTGACAGCAGTGTCAGACTGGCTCCGTCTCTCCGTCCGGCCCGCACACTGCCCGGGGCCCGTGGCTAGAAGATGTTCCTCAGAAGTCATGTCACTCTGGGACTTGGAGAGCTCTAAAAAAACAAATACAAGGGATGACATGCGGCTTTGCCAAGACTTCAGGAAGCCTCTTCTGGGATTCCCTGCAACCCACAGATCCAAGGTCCCAGGAGGGCACGATCTACAGAGGGGCAAGGGTGGCACGTCCACGAAGCACAGAGGCACTGGGAGGGTGACCAGATCCTGTGTGTCGGACACAGGGCAGGAGAAGGGCTGCATTCCTTCAAGGGTCTCCCTGTGGTCACACTGGTCACACACCCCCCATGGCAGAGCCACTGTTGGGGTGGGAGTTAAAGCGAGCTCTTCCCCCCGGTTCCTCTGTGTTCTGGGCCACACGTACAAGTGCACGCTCCTCTGAACACAAAGACAGCAGCTGCCAAGCAAGCCGGCTTTTTAGGGTTCCTTACAAAGCCTGTATGACTAAATACCATTTCTTGTGACTCTTTGAAGTGAGTTGAAAATAAGATTTGAAGTGTCCTTAAAGGTTTTGTTTGTTTTGCAATATAATAGTGGTCTGGAATAAAGACAAATGGAGTGTGAAGGAAGGAATCTGCACACAGACATGAGAGAACCACCTTCAAGATGACGTCTTCCTCCAGAAAACAGCTCCCTTTTCCCCGGAGAGCCTGGTTTCTCTCAAATGTGCACCTGAAAACTATCTTTAGAGCAGTGCTGCCCAGGAGAGATGTAATGTGAGTCACATATGTATGTGATTTCAAATTTTCTAGTAGCCACATTTTAAAAAGTGAAGAGAAACAGTGAAATTAATTTTGATTCTATATTTCATTCAATGCAATGTCTAAAATATTAAGACATGTAAACAAGATCAAAATTACTTATGAAATATTTTACTTTTTTTATACCAAGTCTCCAACACCAGGTGTGTATTTTGCTCTGGCAGCACATCTTGCAGCCATGTTTCAGGGGCTCAAGAACGCTGAGTGGTCAAGGGCTACTGTAAGGGAAAGCACGACTCCACCACCCCTGTCTTCTTATCCGTCACTGAGACGTTACTGTGTGAACCCCTATCCATTTGCTATTTATTAGTTACCTCCTGCCTGTGCTGCCCAGGGCTAAGTCTCAGGGCATCTCTCTTCCCTAGAGAGGTAGACCCCACACATGCCCTCCCAAGGCCTGCGTCCAGCTTTTCCCAGAGGATGCCTCTGAGCTGCTCCTCTCTGAAAGCAATGCCATGCCACGTTCTCAGGACTACCATCCAGAAACGCTGGGCATCTTTCTGTGTCTGGCAGCTAGAGAGACACTAGCTCACACCAGGTTCTCAATGTCGACAAAGGAAAACCTCCTCACATGGCCAGATCCCAGCCTGGGCTATGGAAGGTGTGAGAGGCTCTCATTCTAAGCCCTCGTGAGCTGCTGTTCCCCCAGCCGTCTGTTTAGTGCCCACCCCAGAACCTGTGGCTGTTTAGTCCATTTAAAGTTCACAGATTGAGGGGAGGAAGATCCTTCCTAAGAAATTCCAGTTCTAACTAGTAAGCTTATGTGTTGGTATTATTTGGGGGAAGGAAAAGGAACCCAGAGAAGCACAGGTTGCTCCTGAGCAAGAATCAATTTTTCTTATGTCCTCTTCCACTTCTAAGGGGACTACAGTGCTGAAATCTCCTAGAAAATTCCTAGTAATCAAAAGGGTTGGAATAACTCGTTTCTTCTAGCTGTTGGATTTCATCAGGCAACATCAGCAGAGGCTGCAAATCTGGGTCAGCTGTCACAACCCCTCGGAGGCAAGGCATCCTGGGCCACTAGTCCCAGAAGAGTTGGGGGCCTTCCACAGCCCCACTCCATGGACCCCAGGTGCCAATCTGACTTCCTCCCCACCAGAGTGAGGCTTTCCTGTGTACCCACTTCTGTAGGGACACAGGCAGAAAAAAGCCCAAGAGGGACATGTGAAGAATGGCTCAAACCTTGAAGAAATAGGAACCAGCACTCCCAAGATGCCCCATGTGCTGCAGCAGCGACAGGGTGAAGGGTGTGTGTCGCCATGTGCCCCACCCCCATGGAGCCAGCAGGAAGCACTCAAGAAAAGTCAGGCACACATCATTCCCCAGAGCCAGAAAGCTGGGTTTTTTTTCTATCCCTGCCTCTGCGCCGATGCGGGGGGCACAGGTTGTGGGGTTTTGGTTGACTTCCTGTACCTGAGAAGGGATGCTGCTTTGTTCTAGTGAATCCCCACCCTGCTCAGGGATTAGCTCTGGTTGTTCCCCTGGAGCTGGCCAGTCTCTGGCATGTGAGCAGATGCCAGGCTAGGGGGTGGCCATGCAGTGACTGGGAGCACGTGCAGCACACCTGTGTGTGCAGGGAGGCAAGTGTGCAAAGCCCTGTGTCCTGACTCTCTGGGTTTCTGTGGCTGACAGATGACAGGGTCGGGTTAATGCCAAGGCTCTGATTCCACGGGATCAGCGGAGGGAGGGGATTCATGCAAGCCACCTGGATTTGGCTGTGCGTTGAGAAAGAGATGCAGAGAAGGTCCGACTGGAAGAGTGTCAGTGGGAAGAGCTGTCAGCGCAGGGTGCAGGCAGCTGTGACAGCTGAAAGTCGCATCCCAGGCTGGTGGGCACAGAGAGGCATTGTCAGAGAGCCCAGCAGGATGGGATTTCAAACCTCCAAGCGCTAGTAGCAAATGGCCCATGGAATCCAGCTGCTTCCCTCCCTTCTGGAAGAGAAGGGGACAGACTGATGCCTGAGACAGTCGCTGCTCCTGCCCATCTGAAGAGCGGTGCTTTGACTTCGATTGTCATCATGAGACAGCGAAGACAGGGCTCGTGTGGAATACAGATGACTAATTACAATCAAATAACAAGACTGTCTCGGAGCCAAGGCACAACAGTGAGACCATCCTCAGGCAAGTGTGGAATGAGGGAAGATGGATAGAAGCAGAACAGAAACCAGGGAAAGAGAAACGGCTGCCCGAGGACCCCAGCCCCAGGAAGGACATTTTCTAAGTGCCTGGCCAGCCTGGGCATCTCAGGAGGCATGATGACGGGGTCTCTTCTCTAGGACTTGCTTTTTAAAATAAACAGGAATAAAACTATCCGAGCAGAAAGAACACTGAAGAGAGAAGACTGCAAGCCGTGGTAGTTCTGGGTTCTCGGGATCTGCCAATTGCGTGATTCTTGCTATTGAAGAAAATTCATTTACCAAGGAGAAAAAGAAAAGGGAAGCAATCCATGCCAACGACAGGTATTGGGTCTCACCCAGCTCAAAACTTTCTGGTTTTAGATTCATTGCAATTTTATCTTCAAGTTTTTTTGTTGTTGCTGGTCCTCAGGAAAGTAAAAAATGTGTCAAGCTCCTCTGCCCATGGCACTAAGCTAGGCAGGTTTTGGCAGGAGTAGGAGGAAACTGAGCCAACCCAGTGGACTCAAATGGGGTCCCCTCTTCCCACAGGAACCAGAGACCTGCTCTGTGGGTGAAAAGACAACGGGCCGGCTGCTGAAGCTTTCCCCGGGTCCAGGGACAAAGCGAGTGGCCCGTCCCAGGGACAGTCCCAGATGAGGTTGCCAGCCAGGCCTTGGCCAGGGGTCTCAGCTGGCCTGGATGGTGGTGGGCGAACACATCATGCAGCATCCACTTACTTTTCATGTGGGTGGTAACAGACAGAAACAAATTTTCCACGGACTTATTAAATCCTTTAAACTGACCAAGCTCCTGTAACTAAAGCAGAGACAGAAGGAGAGAGAATGAGAGTTATGTTTGCTGACCTGTGTTTGCCCCATCAATCTCCAGGCTGCCAGCCCTAAACACTGGCAGGTGGGTGTGGGTGCTTGGCTGCGTGTGGGTGTGGGTGTATGCATGCATGCCTGGAGGTGCAGGGAGGGAGGCAGCCTCTCTACTCAGCATCCTCCTCTGTATTTTGACAACCACATTAAAGGAAGGAGCATTATCAATGGGTTGTGGACAAGATAACAACCACCTCTTATAAATAATGACTGACATTTCATTGGCTTAAAGATTGTACCCAAGTAAATTGCTTAACCTCCTTTCCCTCATGGCCCCACCCCAACTCCATGTAGAAGGGATATCAAAGCGGACAGAATGCATGTGACACAGGGGCTGAGGGTGGTACAAGGCACAAGGTGACCAGCCCGAAGCCAAGGAGTTTTGCCTCCCAAAGCAGAAGAGAGAAGAAAAATGGAGAGAAGACAACAGGACACAACTTCCATCTCCAAGACTCATCTATCCACTCAACCATCCATTCACCCACCCACCCATCCATCCTTCCTTCCACCCAACCATCCACTTATCCACTCATCCATCCATCCACTCAACCCATCCATCCATTCACCAACCATCCTCCAACCATTCATCCACCCAAATATCCATCCATCCACCCATCCATCCATCCATCCACTCATCCATCCTTCCTTCCACCCAACCATCCCCTCATCCACCCATCCATCCATCCACTTAACCTATCCATCCATTCACCAACAATCCTCCAACCATTCATCTGCCCAAACATCCATCCATCCACCCACCCATCCATCCACTAACCATCCATCCATCCACTCATCCATCCTTCCTTCCACCCAACCATCCACTCATCCACCCATCCATCCAACCATCCACCCATTCAACTAACCATCCATCCAACTATCCATTCATCCATCCACCCACCCATCCAATTGTCCATCCATCCACCAACCATCCATCATTCAGTAAATATGAGTATGTCTTGAGCACACAGGAGTGACTTCAGAGAATTTAAAATCTCAAGGTGAAAGTAGAGCAGGATTTTGGAAGTGAGCCCAGAGTCTCAGTTTTAGATTGGAAAGAACGTACATATGCTCTCTCTTTCATCAGCAGACATATCTATTCTCTCATATACAGATACAAGGGTACTTCAGAAAGTTCACAGAAAAATAGAATTGAAAGATAATATAAATTTTTCTATGAACTTTTTTTCTTTTTTTTTGTCTTTTGTCTTTTTCCGTGTCCGGCAACGGATCGCAACCCTCAGTGTCGCCCCCGTACCGGACCGGGGACCGGCAACAGGATCGCAACCCTCGGTGTTGCTCCCGCGCCTCACTCAGCCAGTGAGCGGGAACCGGTCTGTATGTGGGATCCGAACCGTCGGCGGGAGCGCCGCCGCGCTTCCCAAGCGGCGCACTATCCAGTGCACCACCGGGCCGGCCCTCTATGAACTTTTTGAAGAACTATCCTCACATAATTGTTCCCTTTAATTCACAGAATAACAATGAAGATAATCAAGACCGGGGACCGGCAACGGGATTGCAACCCTCGGTGTTGCTCCCGCGCCTCACTCAGCCAGTGAGCGGGAACCGGTCTGTATGTGGGATCCGAACCGTCGGCGGGAGCGCCGCCGCGCTTCCCAAGCGGCGCACTATCCAGTGCACCACCGGGCCGGCCCTCTATGAACTTTTTGAAGAACTATCCTCACATAATTGTTCCCTTTAATTCACAGAATAACAATGAAGATAATCAAGAGCATAAGTTTCCACGTCTATTTTCAGCTTCCAAGTACCAGCATAGACATTATTTCATTAATTTCTCACAACAGCCATGGGAGGCAAGCCAAACAAATGTAATTATTTCCACCTTTCAGGTGGGAAACCCAGGTAACTCCCCCAATATTGCACAGCTAATTTCTTTGGACAGAAATGGTGCTGGTGCCCTTCCCATTAGAGCCCACGTACACTCAGAAGGTGCACTCGCATGTCCACAGAGACTCCGCTCTCAGCCACCTGCACACCCAGCTGCACTGCCCCCACACTCTAGGGCACGGTGGCAGCTGGAGAAGAGGGTCAAAGACTCAGGAGCAGGCGGAAGGGGGTCGGCTGACAGTGCAGATGGTCCCACGGCCACCACCAGCTTAGATTCCCAGCCTTGAATCTAACCTCCATTCTCTGCCTCACTTTGCAGCTCCCTCCAGTCAAAGTCAGACCCCTCTGCTGTGCAGTTCTTGTCCAACCTGTCAAGCCTCCCCGCCTCCTCCCTTCTCTCCTGTTTCCCCTCTAGAGAAGCCACAGAAGAGATACATTACCGTGCACGGGCTGCGGCTGCACCGGTTTTCACTGAGAGGAGGTGGAGTAGGAGGAACCACAGAAATTTTGCTAACAAGGAAAAATACAGGAATAAGAAATGGGTTATGAACTACACAAGCTATTAGTTTAACAAATACGCAAGATGTGTCATTATTCTATAGTTCAAGTTCTCAGCTTTTTTTTTTTTTTTTTTTTTTTAACTACCTCACTACTTCGAGAAAGATCCAGCAGCCCTGGTTGGACCTGCTTTGCTGTGAGAGGTGTTATTTCCTGGTATTTGAATGTGAGAAATGAGGGTTGTGCTGCTTAAAGCCTGTGCACCCCCCTCCATCCATGTGTTCTGAAATAGCTGGGGTGTCGGGACCCAGCTTTGCCACCCAGCTGCTCTGGAACCCCAGACTCCACGTGTGTGTGCAATCCACACCAGCAGAAGTACAAAAATGGGTGGATGTAAAAATCAACCATGAGAGGAACTGGACACTTGTGCTAAAAGAAGTGGAGAAAAGAGGAAAAGGAAGAAATGAAGAAGTCCTGAGACTGGAAAATCTCATTGCGGGCCAAAAAAACAGCAGCTGGTGGGGAGATTTCAGTAAAATTTTAATAAATTTGGTGTGATCTAGTGTGTTAATTATTGCCAACTTCAAGACCACTAGGTTTTTAGAATTTTATGCAAAGAAGTTAACATCTCTCAGACCACAACTCAATTCCACCTATGTTTATGCCACGAATATCTCCCAGGTGCCAGGCACGGGGTAAGGTGCTACAGACGCGAGCGATTAATGCAAGCAAATGTTGGGTTTAGAATTTCATGTAATGTGCAATCAACAATAATATTTAGTTTCCTTCTGACATTTCAAGAGAACTTAAGAAACAAAACAGAACATTTACTGAGAAAATACTATGCTAGCTAGAAGGCTTTTCATAAGAATCTGGAAACATCTCTGTTTGAATCTTTTCCAGGCACTTTATCATTTTGAAAAAAAGGTTACATTCCAAAGCAGTGACATCTGAAAGTCAAGAGAGCTTTAAGTTCTTTCCAGGCGTCCTCTGCTCCTGCCCTCAAGGGCCCAGGACATGTGTCCTTTTATAACACTCACCTCAGTTTCTGATAAGATTGCAGGAGCTTTGCTCCGGCTGTCTCGTGTTTACCTGAAAGAGATACCAATAAGGTCATTCATTAGTGAGAATATAACTTATATGATGCAAGAACAGGAAGCAGTAAATTAAAATTACTTTTTCCTAATATCATTTCTTGTGATTGAAAAGTAAAGAGATCATTTTGGGGTGATAAGAGTGTTTTAGAAATGCTCTGGATTGTGGTGATGGTTGTGCAACTCTGTAAATTTACTAAAAATGATTGAATTGTACACTTCAAACAGGTGAATTTTATGTTATAGAAATTATGCTCCACTAAAGCTATTGTTAACACATGCGCACAAAGTAAGAGATCGTAGTAACTACTTTTATTAAAGGTTGATGTTGAACTGGATTTTCTAAATCTGGATAATTTGAAAAACAGCCCAAGCTTCCAAGCTTCCATGTGTCCTTTGGAAACACTTCATAACTGAATGAATATATTCCTCTAAACGTTCCTTGTGATGAAGATTAAATTAATCTTTCAAAAAATGTAATCTCCTCATTTCTAGTTATAGAGGCTAATAATTTCCTAAATAAGACTGTGCCTGATATAGTACTCTTTTTGTTTCAAAGAAAGAGGTTTTCATGTTGTATTATGACCCCCAAAAATAAAACTCTGGGTGTCCACAGTTCTAGGAACACGTTTCCTGGCCAAATGCATAGGAAGAGGTCCGCCTGTGCCCAGCCCAGGGCTGGAGGCAGGCTTCTCCTGCTCTGAGGCTCCCACTCTGCCCCAACACAGCCCAGGACCACCAGACCTGCCACCCTGGGCGGTCAATCTAGTGCCAATCTTGTGTGTTTGGAAGGTTTTAACCCATTCCAAAGAAAGACTTGAGTATAAGCACCATTTCACACACTGCAGGACACACTGCAGGACAGAGAAGGAAAGACAATCAGGTGGATAGGGAGGCAGCCCCAGGCCAGGCGTCCTAACTGGGCTGGCCTTGACATCATATCTAATTTTGAAGCTACCTGCCTGCATGTATTTTCTCGGGTTCCTAATGGTGTTCACCGGATTCTAAAAAGCGCCTGTGAGCTCTGCCCCTCCCCGATTAAGAAATTCTTCTCTAAAGCAGAACAAAAAGGTACAGAAAGGCCCCACCCAGAGGCTGAGAGCTAAACTAGTAGAACCAGCTCGCAATGGATGAAATCCCACATCTGCAGGAGCCACCTTAAAGAAAACATCTAGGTAGGAAGCAAAAAGAGAGCCAACCTAACTGCATGGTGGTCTTCAGGGAAGCAGAGAAAAACAAGGCAAAGGAAAGAAAAAAAAAAGGCAACACTATTTATCCACAGGACCCAAAGGATGGTGAATTCTGCACACTGTGGGCTGGCCTGTCTCTCGGGCTCACCAGGGCTGTCCCTGTGCCCTCTGTGCCTGCCTTATTTAGCCTCATTTAGTCTCAACTTGCCCCTGGATTGTTGCAACATCCATCGTCCCCTGAGGCACAGCCACCAAAGTCACAGTCCCTCCCTCCCAAACCAAAGCTATCATTCTACTGCCTGAGGTCCTGCCGTGATTCCCCGTGACTCCCCATTGCCTTCGCCTAAAGTCCAGGACCCACGTGGCGTCCACACCCTGCCTGCACCCCGCCCCCCCCGCCCCC